CCCCAAAACCCCAAAACCCCAAAACCCCGTAAGAAATTTAGGTGAGGAAATAGTGAATTTCCTCTAGTTATTAAATTAAGAAATAAGAATGTGACAGGTGGATTGATTTATATATAAATTATTAATTTAATGGAGCCACTAAAAGATCCTCTTGGAGATAGAATAATTAAGTCTGTGCCTTTACCTCCTCATAGACCCTTAACCATGGCCTAAATATACGGTACTATCTCTAATCTCAATTTTACATTTGGTACAGGTGATAACAAGGTCCCAGATTGGAAACTAATGCTTAAGTATTTTGTTTCTTGCGGAAGAGTAGATAAGGAATCTGCAGTTTATATTATTAAATAAACTATTGAGTTGTTCAGTAATCTAAAGCTCAATTCGATAACATACATTTAGAAAAGGAACCAAATATTGTTAAAGTTCCAGATCCAGTCATTTTTGTCGGAGATATTCATGGTTAATTCTATGATCTTAATAAAATGCTTGAACTTGTAGGAAAGGTCGGCTAGATAAAGTAAGTTATAAATGTGACTAATGATATTCTAAAGTTTTGTATTTCTTGGTGATTACGTAGACAGAGGAATGTTTTCATTCGAAGTTATTGCAACCTTATATGCTATGAAGGTAACTTAGTCAAATTATTCACCCAAATATTTCTTGCTTATTTATTCGTTACAAATAGTTGAATTATCCGAACCACATCACTTTATTACGTGGAAATCATGAATGCAGATAGATGACAGAGAACTTTAACTTCCGAGTAGAGGTAGAGGAGAAATATGATAGCTAGATCTATGAACTGATCATGGATTCCTTCGATGCCTTACCTCTCGCAGCGTTGATTGACAATAAGATACTAGCAGTTCACGGTGGGATATCTCCAGAGTTACAAAAATTCTCATAGATTAATAAGCTTGATAGATTCAAAGAAATTCCCAAATCTGGACTTTTCACGTAACTTATTCTATTTTGATATCTTTATGCTTTAGTGATCTGATGTGGTCTGATCCAGTTGAAAACGAGACAGGCTATTAAGATGGGGATTATAAAAAGAATAACAAGCGTAATTGCTCATTTATGTTTGGTAGTTAAGCTGCAAATAATTTTTTGGAATCAAATAACTTGCTTTGTGTCGTGAGAGCACATGAAGTCTAAATGACTGGCTACAAATTACATCAGTGGAATGGTCCAGCAGAGTTTCCGGCTGTCATCACAATATTCAGTGCTCCTAATTATTGTGACGTCTACAACAATAAAGCAGCAGTTTTGAGATTTGAAGTAAGTCAGATTATTTTACAAAAATTGATTTTTAGAACAATCAAATAAAGATTCAACAATACAACTACACTAATCATCCATTCGTACTTCCAGATAACATGGATGTCTTCACTTGGTCTTTACCATTCGTTAGTGAGAAGGTTATAGAAATCCTATTTAGTATTCTTTTAAAGGGAGCCAGGCTCTACGGTCTGGATACTCAAGATATTAATGTTATTGATATGGATGTAGGCAAAGTTGATTCGCTATCAAAAGTTCAGTTCACGATATCAAAGGGTGGGAAGTGTAATTAATATCTTTTAGTTAAATACATCTTATAGTCAAGCCTGATGCAGTTAAACAAAAGCTAGGATTCATTGGTAAAATTATGAGAATGCAAACCAATCTGAGATAAAACAGAGAACTATTTGTGTAATTGAAAGGAATGTGTCCTGACAATAAAATACCCAAAGGCCTGCTCTTAGCTAGCACAGTAGAGATTAAAGATGCTCTAGAGCATTTCAAGAATGCAAAGGATATTGATTCTATTAACGAAAGGAGACCAGAATGAAAACTTAATTCTAAACTTCACAATAATTATGTGCAAGTTAATCCCTGAAATCTTAGTCTCAACTTTTAGACACCAGACCTCTTTTAAAATAAACAATATATCTTAAAATATCAATCTCAATTTATTTGGAAACTTATACTGACGGGGTTTTGGGGTTTTGGGGTTTTGGGGTTTTGGGG